AAAGTGCTTCTATTATGTAATATGACATTAAGAATGAATAACATTACAATTTTCTTTAATAATCTCTCATATCATTTCAAACAAACATATCACAATTTAATCGTTGCATTTCCATTACTTGGAACCGATTTACGTTCAAATTGCTTTAACAATGTCAAATAACATTTACAGCAAAGTAATAATCATGACGCATGACAAATTTTTGCATTGCTGTGCGCGCATCAACTTTTTGTATAATACCATGACGAGTGCAACATTTTACAAGCTGTGCAGACAATTCACAGATAATTTATTGAATTGCTTGACGTGAAAACACTAGGTATATACTATATTTGAATAAAGGTCTCAGTAAAAGTCTATTTGTATTAACATTTAATGAAAAACAAAAATCGCATAATTCACCTTTTTAAAATCCAAAATCACAAACTTTGAGCGCTTAATTTAGGAATTTACAATGCAAAAATTGAAATACCAGACATGAATATATATCAAATGTAAAATGCACAAGTGTCTCCACAGTGTTCTACACAGTGGTGCATTTCTCCACGTATTTATAGCCAAATTCTGGTCCCGCTCCGACACCTCTATACCAACGCCAAAGCAAAGTTCATCGCCGCCATGGAACGCTGCGACAACGTCCGACACCGTTCCAACAACCCCATGTACGCTGATAAAACGCTAACAACCGCTCCACCGACGTTTGTGCAACGTTTAATCGCCGCCCGGGCAACGCTGGCGAAGGCAGCGGTGGTCCAGCGTTGAAGATTTCTGCGTTGGTCTAGCGGATTCAAGCGTCCACGAACTTGCGTCTAGCGGTGCCAAACTTTGACTGGGCGTTGGTGGAGCGGTGATAAACTTTGCCAGGGCGTAAAATTGTCCCTTTTTCAACGCTCGCAATATTTTGAGCAGCTCAAAACTTTTGGAGCGTTAGGATGGCCACTCGAGAAACATCCGCGTTGGCCGAGCGTTTACAGCGTTGCTTTAAAGGATGCCAACTTTTGTTAAACGGTGGTGAACGTTTACGAGCGTTGATGATTTTTTTCAACGTTCAAGGAACGCTCCAGCAACGTTTAGGCGGTGTGACCGGGCCTTTAGTCCATGCACACAGCGTATTCTGCTAAGGCCATAAAAAGTAGATTCTTTGTTTTGCGTCCTGGCAAAATCCAAATCATGCAATGGTACAAGGAAAACAAACAGAAACTCAAGAAAAAACACAAACTTGTTTGCTGAGAAATATATACATTTTAGGGGCATAAAAAAGGATGACATCCCAATTTTCAGTGATTACAAACACATATCTATACATTTTATACAATATATAAAAACATAGCTATTATTCAAGGGTAAAAAATAAGAAAAAACACAATGTATGTCAAATAATTATAACACTGTCAATTTTGACGCACATCAAATTATCCGCCATTTCATCTGATTCTGAAATGCAATGGTACTTTCAGACCCTTGTGATTGCTATTTTGATGTGTTTGTTTTTTCTGATTTACTCAAAATCGTGCAAGCAAGTGGACGCAAAACAAAGGATCTACTTCTTATGGCCTAATACACATTTGCTAACACCCCCCACTTTCATAGTGAAGTGACTAATTGGTTTATGTTTACGTTTTAATGTGTTTTGGGTTCCTTGTTACAGCAAGGGGGGCCAGTAAAGTAGACTAACATGTTTGCATGGCAAATTTTGATCGAATATGTGAGACACTTTAACATTGATATTGGTTATTTTGACATAATACCTTTATAAAATAAACATATAATGTGAGACCAATCTCTTACATGTATCATGGTGCTAGCAGAAACCACTCCTAAGGTGCCACGAGTAAAGTTTTCAACGAATTTGGCTTATCTATTGCTGAGAAATTACTTGTCAAATTGCTTTTTATTTTTTGTTCAAATGTTTAGAAGTTTCATATTGCGTTGGGACATAATGCCTTGCTATATTGAATTTCTTAGTCCTAACATAAAGATTATTTGATCTTTTTCGTATTTTCGCACCTTGCCTACGATACTCTTTGGCTACTTTTTACAAATCCTGAGTGGACACTTGATATACAGTGCGTCCGAAAAAACGCAACAAATGAAAATATTGTAAAAACACCAGATCAGTGATGATTACATCAATTCATTTAGTTTGCAATGAAGCAACGTGTCTCTCCTTTCTTATGATGAATCATGTGTTCATATCTTATCATGAATCACTGAAAAATCATTGTTTTTTGTACATTGATGAAAAGTCCTTTGTACCAAGTTATGGAATATAAATCAACTGATCCTAATTGTGCAATCAGGTAAATCATTATGCAATTGGTACTCGGGATAAAATTCTTGTCCCCAAGATTTACATAACACAAGTTTCTGTTTTGGATTAACTAAAACAGAAAAAAGGAAAAGAAAATTTAACCTTAAGTGTTCATCAATAATCTTGCTGAGTCAAAAAACGTATGGAAAAAGAAATGGCATAAACAGTCATTGTCTGCCGTCTAATGAAAAATTACTTAATACAAAATTACTGAAAGATTACATTTCATGCCCTTTCACATGACCTCTATTTCACTACACACATAGACTGGCTTGTGTGGTTTATCTTTAAAATGATATAACACACTGCATGGTTTAACCTGTGTATTTATTTTGGCCACCATGTATACATGACGAATCATGGCCAACATTATTATACGGAAAGCAAAATAGACAAAGCGATATATCAAAATCCAAATAATTGAGTTTGCAGTGCCAACTATTTCGCATTTTATTTTTGTATGGAGAAATAACATGCCATTCACTCTGTCTTCCGCGGAAAATATTATGCTTACTGCGATGAAAATATGGTTATTTGTGAATAAATACCGAATTAAAAGCTGTGGCACGACGAATTCAACCTATTCGGAAAGGCTGCATGCTGCCTTGCTCTATGAATGATATTCTGACAAAATACAAAAAGATTTATTTGATTCTCAAACTTGATTGTAAAAAGGACGCTAGACAGACATACATGTAAGTGCCGCCTGTTAAAGGGTATCTTTTATAAGTTATCCAGTCATCAATTAACAGACTGGATGTGTTATCTCCTTTCAAATCCTATGCACTAACATACATTAAAATTTATTT